ATTTGCTTACATCTTTGTTCTCTTTTGAGAATCAAACAAAACAGATTTTAAATTAAAAAAATAATGAAAACAAACAAGTGAAATGAAATAAATTGCTGAATTGCTTTTGATTCACTGGCAGGAGCGACAAGTGAACAACGAGGGAGAGATTGAATAAAGAGAAAGAGTAGAGGACAGAGAGAGTAATGAACAGGAAGAAGACGGAGAGACTAAAGAAGATGGAAGAGAGGGTGCAGGTTATGGAAAGGAGAGAGACATGGAAAATTAATGTTGACAATGTTTTGTGATCATTTTAGCCTCTTCTGCATGTCCAGATCATTAATAGTAACAATCAACTGATTCTTATGCATTACACTTTCAAAAATAATTTATGCTGCAGCCCACTGACATGGATTGAAATCAATATATTATCCAATTTGTGACCCCCAGCAGGACTTAAAAAGCACCTAACTAGATCATGAAAATCCCAAAAATCTCGGGGGATATCCCCCGAACCCCCCTAACATGTTTGGACCTCGGTATTTAGGAAATCCTGGATACGGCCCTGGGGACAGTGTTCTACATGCCACTGCTACATTTTACCTAGCAAGGATCCAATAAGATGTAATGTGCTTTGTGACTTTTCTTGTAGTTGTTTAGGTTGGAAGTCCTTCATGCTCTTACTTTGAAATGCGTAAACCATTTCAGACATGTCATCAGCATATGCTATCAGATTGCCGAGTGACACAAGTAGATTTTCAGTCGTCCTAGTCAAAAGTTTGTTTTAAAACTCCTTACTGTAAGTATAAAATGCAAAAGCCATAACAGAGAATTGAGATCCAAAAATGAAAACTATATTCACCCATTTCTGATTGAAAGTTGTAAAACGTCAGAAAGATATTCCCAAATTGTTTTCCTTTAATACATTTTAAAGTATTTACAGATTTCTTATTTATAGAATTTGTTTTTCCAGTTCAGTTTTACAATACATTCTTTTTTTGAGTTTACAAATCTTTAATTTTGCATTTGTGAAAGGTTTTTACATTTACAGACAGATTGTTGATCTGTCCACACACATACTAGAGACAAATCCACCTCTTTATATGATTTCTACTGATCAGAACTCCAGCCTCATAAACACCAAGAAGAAGATGGAGTCAGATTTATCTCAGCTGCAGTCAGAGATGGAGGATACCGTCCAGGAGGCGAGGAACGCCGATGAGAAGGCCAAAAAATCCATTATGGATGTAAGTCTCCTCCAAATTTGTATTAATCTACTGCAGAGAGCCATTTCAATGAGGTTGTGCAGATAGATACAATAAAAATGTCCATACAGGCTGCCATGATGGCGGAGGAGCTGAAGAAGGAGCAGGACACCAGCTCTCACCTGGAGAGGATGAAGAAGAACCTGGAGGTGTCAGTGAAGGATCTGCAGAAGCGTCTGGAGGAGGCCGAGCAGCTGGCTCTGAAAGGCGGGAAGAAAGAGCTTCAAAAACTGGAAGCCACGGTATGAATCAAAAAGGGATAAAAACAAATCTTTGGAGGTAAAAATAAAACAAAATTGTATTTTAAATGACTGTATTTTTAAGGTGCGTGAGCTGGAAAATGAATTGGATTCAGAACAGAAATGCAGCAGCGAGGCCATGAAAGGTGTACGTAAATACGAAAGGAAAATTAAAGAGCTCACTTATCAGGTAAAACCCTGCCATATAACTGAGTGCCACAAGGTGAGATGTGCAAAAAACTGAATAACACCCTCAAATGTTTCAGCGTGAGGAGGAGAAGAAGAGCGTGGCAAGACTTCAGGATTTAGTCAACAAACTGCAGCTGAAAGTAAAAGTGTACAAGCGGCAGAGTGAGGAAGCGGTGAGTAAAAATACACGTGTCAAATGTTCATGTGCACATTAAACAAAAACAGTCTGACTTATGATATTTTCTATGACACTCAGGAGGAACAAACCGGCGTCCATTTGGTGAAAGCTCGAAAGGTGCAACATGAACTGGAGGAAGCGGAGCAACGAGCCGACACGGCAGAATCCCAGTTGAATAAGTTACGATCAAAGAGCCGTGATGTTGTTGGTAAAGGGGAATAGAAATCTAAACTGTAGTGACAACCAATTATTCTCATATCATATTTTGAATGATCTAAGGAAAATAGTGTGATATTGATTTTTGGTTTTAAAGAGCATCTTGCAGGTTTTTTTTTTTTCTACACTTGTGCCTAAACTTGCTTGAAAATTACAATTAAAAAAGTGAATGTAGGATTTGATATGTTTTACGAGACATAAGGGCAGGAATTCAGAGGGAAAGGAGCAATTTTGAGCTCTGCTCTTAAAAACGGCTTTTTTTTAAGGTCCCCCCCCTTCGCTGCTCTCTCTCTCTCCCCTCCGGTACACGGCACCGTAAGACAGTGTGGAGTTGCATTAGGTAACGTTGTGGTGGCTGTGCTGT